TTGAACGCCAATTCACTACCTTTACTGGTTGAAAACTTATGAAAAGAGTTCCATTTTGGCAATCTTTCATGATTTGATTTAATATAAAGGGCTATTTGATAAATGTATAAGCTTATCTTTTATAAGCTTATCTTTTCAAAAAGTCATAAATTATATTTCTTTAAAGTGCTCTTTAGCGGATTCTTTTGATTTTAGTTTTAACATTATGCAAATTGTTTTTTTCTGAAGTTACTGAGTGCTATTAAGATTAAAATTTGATTTGCCCCCATAAAGACATAGGTATCAGATAGATTAATATTTTGTAGTAAAGGTTTATATTTCAGTTGGTTTAGTTTTAAATTTTATTTAAAATATGATGGAGAAAGATATTGAAATATTTAAAATAAATCTAAAAAAGAAAGTGTAGTTTAAATGCATCAATACTCACACGACTTGATGAAGATGCTCTGCTGGAACTGGCTTCGGCAAGAAATTCTCGCATTGCTTGTCTTCTCTTCCAAGCAACTGGAAAATGATTATCTTCTGATTAGTCTGAAATTATTTTTTTAGGGTACCTAGGCTTCAGCCTGCATCCTTGATGTTTGAAGTCTTTCACTGTGTAATTTAGACATGATAGTAACGCTAATAAATTATTACTATAAACTGTATGATACTCAGTGCTGGATTTAGGGAACTTGCGGACCTAGGCCAAACTAACCAGAAAGGCCTCCACTGATAGGGTAGAACTTCCCTGTGATCTACCGCAACCAGGGAAATCCATCACCATCATGAAAAACTATTAAATTTAGAAACGTAGCCAAAAATGAAATTTTTGTTGTGAAAATATTTTTTTTGTACGAAACCCTGAAGCTAGACTTGCGGGTCTAGGCCACAGCCTAGTAGTAAATCCGGCACTGATGACATTCATACTGTCAAATATACTTACATCTGTATTGATATGTTTCTTTATATGATACAAATTTTGATTTCTGTCTGGGTGTAAGAAATGAGTTAAAGCTCGAGGAAACTAAATACACTTTTTAGAATTTGTTAGAACTAGGGTTTGGACTGTTCCAAAAAAAGCTTATGGTATGAATACACACAAATAATTAAATGTTAGATACCGAATAGCATAAGGGCCGATGCTCGAGAAACACAAACAAATAGCACTACTGTATAAACAAAAATTAGAATATACCACCGTCACTGGCAGCTTTATGAATCAAGAAAGATTTGAATTGGGATGAAGGATGCCTTCAAGGTCAATGTTCTAATAGTTCATCTTGGTAAAATGTCCTGATATTAAATCTGGTTTGTTAAACTCACTTTGTAAAAAAACTATAATTAAACACTATATTATCAAACAGCTTCTGAACAGTTACACATTGCTTGATTGATAAACAGTAAAAAGTAGGACAGTAAATCTTAGACCACAATTGGATTTTTTTAGCTTAAAACGTTTAGAAGTTGATGTTACCTCTGCTAAGCTCCTACTAAGTTAACATAGGGCCCTCACATTGCAACTGTCTGCTGTAAGTTGTCTAGAGTTGGGTTTTTACTAAGAAATCTTAAAGAATGTGTTAATAAAAAATATCAAAAGAAGGCCTATATAGCCTTTTTCCAGGGTACCTTTTTTATGGCCACATACTCTGTGGTGGAGTTTCAGATACGAAAAATGTCTTTGGAATTCAAAGAAAGGCAATTAGACTCTTGGCAAATGCTGACTATGATGCCGATTGCAAACCACTTTTTATGAATGAAGGTATAATGACTGCACACAGTTTATATGTCTTTGTTTCTGTTTGAAATATTAAGAAAGATCTAGAATCCTTGCAAATAAGAGGTGATAATCATGCTCACAATACCAGGTGCAGAGATAAAGTTGACATCCCGATTGTAAAGTTAGGTAAAACGCAATGTAACTCTGATCAACTGAGTTTAAAACTCTTAGGCCCCTATTACACGAGGTAGCCTGGCGACGTCGCCAGCGGCAGTAGCTGGCGACGCACTGGCCACCAAACCTATAACCAGTTGAGTAGCCAGAATTTTACCGCCGTGGCGCCGTTGTTGTGAGTGCTTGTCTTGCACTTGTACTTGTTATGAGCGGTGTTTACAGTGAATAATGAGTCATTATAAGTATCTTCTCCTTCTGTTACTTCTGAAGAAAAGGAGGCAAAGGAAGAGAAAAATGTACGTTCATCCAATGCTTAGTGCAAGAGAATCAAAAGGGTTATATTACACCCTTTTTGATGAGCTCTGTGCGGACAATAAAAAATTTTTCAATTATTTTTGTATGTCACAATCCAGTTTCTTCGAGTCATAAAGGATGATATAGACATTTTATCAACTGAAGTGAACAATTCACCCACTCACAACACAACAGAACGCAACACAACAGTGTGCAAGTACCCCCGTGATATGAACTGACTGAGTGGCGACGTGATACTGGCAATGGCGACCTAGTGTAATAAGCTCCATATGCTACAACGCAGCGTCGCCAATATGGGTAGCCAGTGGCTACCACAGTGGCGACGGGGCTCGGTAGCCAGTCGGTCGCCAAAGTGTGGCTGCGTCGCTGGCTACCCTCGTGTAATAACATCCATAAGAATCAATGCCCCATGACAAGCTGAGTAGCCAGTTTGGTCGCTGGCGACGTCGCCAGGCTACCTCGTGTAATAGGGGCCTTAAATCACATTGTTTGTTCAGCCTGAACCCAGACTTTTCCAAAATTCAAAAACAATCTCCGGGATCTTCTATTGGCATATCCACTCTTCTCTACCGATAATTTCATCACCATCCCACAGAACATTGTAAGTAGTCATTTTAAGTAGAAGCAGAAGCTTTCTTGGTTGAGTTTGTTACTATTTGTCAGTTTGTGCATGGGTTTCGCCCTGCCTTGCTTTGTTTTGCTTTTCTCTCTGTGTTTTTTTTTTTTTGTCTGAGTGTTTTGTTGCTCAAATTCTTTTTAGACTGCCTGCCTTTTTGGAACTTCTTGCTGAATGTGTTCGAATAAGAGTTTGACGTGTCCTATTGCATTGTTTTGCTTCATGGAATAAAGAATTTTGATTTTTATTTTGGACTACTACATAAAAAGTACCGTCTAATGTTAGCCAAACTTAAAATAGTCAGACTTTGAAAATTAATACCTCTATTAGAAATATTTAAAACTACAGTAAACCTTCGATAGTTCGACACTCCTTGTAGTTCCACACGGGCAGAGCTATTTTGTCAAGTGATATTTAATGGTTACTATTGTGACTGATGTGAGCTGACTTGAACATTGATTTGTCATTTATTGTTGACTTGAGACTTAATGAATATTACAGTGAAATTGTTAAGCTTATTAGTATTTAATAAATTTGGGTGATTTCTATAAAAGACTTGTGTTTTTACTTTCCTGTATATTAAACTCCGTTTACTCCCTATAGTTCGACATTTTGATAGTTCGACATCCCTTAAGTCCACAAAGTGTCAAACTATCGAGGTTCTACTGTATCTTAAATTGCAAGATACATTATCCCAGCCGTGTGAGAACAAAACTGTTGAAGGTAAACAGCTATAAATGTGTATAGTACACATCCCAAAATATATTTTCTAATTTCCTTGCTCATTAAACAGTTCCTTTTAGCTTGGGTATTTAACAGTGTTTAGTAGTATACCCAAAACGTTGCCCCAAGTCAGCTGTAACATTTTGAGATTTTACTCTAAATCGATGATCTCGTACTGAACAGTGTCATGTGAGTATTGGTGATGAATTTTTATTTCATCTTTAATACAACTACAGTAGACTCCCTCTTATCCGGATTCCTCGGGACCAAGGCCAGTCCGGATAACAGGTTTTCCGGTTAAACCGACGTCCTCAAAAACTCGTTAAAACGGACTGTTTACTGTGACATTCGACTTAAATTTAGGAGAGCATTGTATTTAGAGTTTTAGACACGTGAGCACTGGTCTCAAATCTTTCCCACAAGAACAGTCGTTTCAGTACTGTCCACTTCCTGCCGATCTAGTCCGGTTAAACCAATGTGCTGATAGAAATTGTCCTGTTAAAGAGATGTCATTTCCGCCGAGTGTAGTCCGGTTAAAAGGTGTCCAGATAAGAGGGAGTCTACTGTAATGCCAAAATAACCAGTAATTAAATTGTGATATTTTATTCATCATTTGTACCGTTTATTTTGACACATACTGTACGGTATTATACATTTAAAAAAAATCTATAATCCTAAAGGCGATTTTTTTTTATCAATGTAGGCCTGCTCAATAGTTTTCAAAACTTGTGATGTAGAATACAACATTAAAACTAACAATCTACTTTTTCCTGGATTGTAAACATTGCATCTTCTATATACTGTATCGCAGAAAATTAGGTTTTAAACATTCTTTTTTAATCCTATGGTACAAAGTCCAGAAACAGCCTAAACATCAAAGTTATAAAAATACCAATATAAAGATTTTAGAAAACTGTGATCTCAAGTGTTGTTATGTACCTAACACAATCACAAAGGATTGTTGTTGGGAACAGAAAAAAAGTTTCCAATAGAGTGAAATTGTGACAATGCTCAGCTTTCACTGGGTTTTAAACATATATACCTGAAAAATATTCATAGTTGCAAACAATGTACAGACAACATTTTATTTCATAATATTGGCAGGGAATTAACACTGACCTAATGAACATAAAGGGTCGTTGGTAAAAACACTTGGATTTTGCAACGTCAAAGCGTTTATACCCAGTTTCACAACAATTTCGCTACAACACCATAGTTCACAAACCATTCGGTCATGCACAAACCATCTTTCCACAGACACTCACTTCAAATAGTTTTACGTTTCATCTCGCTCCACATCAGCAAGTTGTGTAAGATTGTTTTATCTGTCATTGCCAACATAATAAAAACATTAAACATTGTGCTAATCTGCTAATAGCTATGACTGGTTAGTGGTTTATTAAGAATTGCATAGACACCTAAAATTTGTTAAAATGCCCATATATGGGAAACAAAAACTTCTGTTCAGTAATAATGGTTTATTTACCTCACAATCATTGTACAAGTACAGTATGTATATAGTTAATAAATAGTCTTAAGCTTAATTACAATCCTATTAATATCCCTTATTCTGATATCCCATGCTCCAAACTGATATACATATATACTGTACACTCTAATTTGTATACTCAAGTTTACTTAGATGTGTATTGCATTTTTGTTCAATAGTTACTACTTAATGCAAATTACTTTCGTTTCTTCCCATTACAAGTGTTACTTTAAAAACGAAAAGATTAATTGAAGACGAAATGGAAGTAGATTATATGTGAGAAACTTTAAACAATCAGTCAACTGATTAAGCTGCTTGAAACACTTGTGATCAGAAATGTTGTTTAATCAAGAGTTTTAGCTATAGCCTCCTAGCATTGACTATATATACCTACAGTCCATAGACACCTGATTTATTATAGGTATATATAGTCAATGCTCCTAGGCAGTGGCGTTGGTGTGTGACATGTGGCAACGTAGCACCCGCTGATCTAGTGCCATGAGGTATTAATAAACCTAATGATGTACAAGGCCCCGGCCACACGAGGCGAATTTAAGCCGCTCGGCTTATCTTCCTGCGAAGTTAAGCCGCACAAAGTGCCTAGCCACACGGGGCGGATGAACCGCTTCCTGTTGGGTTTTCCTAGTATGAGTACTCTATTAAAACATAGTTCAGTTCACTCTTTTTAGCCAAGGACGGGACACTTATGTTAGTTTGTGCATTAGAAGCGTGTGGTGATCTGGAACCAAATGTTAACAGAAATTATTGGGTTCATCCCTCCATTACGGAAAAACCATTTTTGTTTCAAACCTTTTAGGAGCACATGCGAAACCATAGTTCGGTGTTTTTTAAACATTGTTCAAACACCACACAACCGGTAACAAACACACAAAATACAAACTCAAAAACCACTGGAAATGTCCGAAGAACACAATACAATAAGCGCGGCTGCCACGCAGTCGAACCGTATTGTGTGGCCACTCTCATAAGACTGCTTGTGTCATCCCCTCCAACATCATCAAATATATTTTATTATAAAAATTTAGGCTTAACTACGCGCGGTCGAGGGACGACATGGCACGGCTCAACCGTACATGCCTCTAAACTTCGCCTCGTGTGGCCACTCTCTTTTTATTCAATGAGGTGTCGAACCCTGAGCGCGGCTTAAATTCGCCTCGTGAAGCCGGGGCTTTAATTTTACCTGTTAGTTTCAAGTCTTAGATTCAATTCAATTTGACAATTTGTCCTGTCAATTGATGTACTGACAATAAAAATTAATATATTAATGAATTATCAAGTAATACTAATACTTCACATTTTCTTTATGAATACTGTATCACACAATACACTATGAATCCCTGATACATACAATAAATGGTGAACTGCTTTGATAAGACCTTCTAGGGACCACGAGAGTCTGCAGTTGGCGTCAGCCAATCACAAGACAGGGCTAGTGCGACGTTGCCATTTCGCCTGTTGACAACACTAATTAAGATATACTAAACAATATTTTCAAATCAGCTGGTATAAAAACGCTAGTCCATTGACGATTCCTCACAAATAATACAGTGGTGGGAGTATTTGAGGAGAGCCTTACACCCCTCACCAAGTGAAGTCATCATTATTATTGAAAAACCTTCATAGAGACACTGCATAAGGAGAATAAGAAATTTGTTTTCCTTTTCAGGCATTGTTCAAATGCAATGGGCACCGTCAATACAATTAAATCAGGTATTCTAAGGAATGGAAAACCATGCAAACACAACGTGCAAAAATATTTGTTGTACAGCTCAAGAATCCGCCCCTTATAAATGCAATATAATTTTAAGTTTGTATCTCAAAGTATACTGTAAGATATCATGTACCTCTATATTTAACGAACAGGATAGGATGTTTTCACACATCTAGGTTCTTATCTTATATATTTCAAAAATTGAGTTCGTTTGGCTCTTCTACCCGACTGATTTTCATGATTGAGGTCTCAAATTGAAGGTATGCACACACAGATTTGCCATCAAGCATCTGCATATATTTATCTATAATCCCACTTGGCTTATACGTAAACAAAATTTGCTCTCCATGTATTTCTTATGGGAGTTAAATTTGGTTTCTCTTTTCCGAGTTTGTTTGGCTCTTCTACCCGACCGATTTTCATGATTGAGCTTTCAAATTGAAGGTGCATGCACAGATTTGTCATCAAGCGACGGCATATATTTACCTACTGTATTTCTCAACCAAAAAACATAATTTGATTCATTTTCGAATTCTTACTTCAATTTAAGATGTATTTCACCAGTTATATAACTATACAATCCTATATATTTTGCTCTAAGAACCTTCAGTGAAATACCGGCTTTCATTTAAGCTATCAGTTTTTCAAATCGGACGAGTTTTAAGCAAACGCAAGGTGAATAACAAACATTAAAATTATTTATCATAAAGTATTTCTATGTTAACAAAATAAATAGCTCCAGGATTGTTCAGGTTTTTTATATGTTTTAGACTCAAAATAATCAGTAAATTATGGGCTTTAATTTGAGCTATTGATCGTTTGAATCAGTTAAGCTCGAGATACTGTTTTACTCAATAAAAATCATGAATTTGATTATTTATCGGATATTATATTTATTTTATCGTTGCGGCGCAGCATGGGTCCTCTAGTATCTATGATTTCCCACAGAAATAGGATTATTATGTACAAGAATAGGGATCAGCTAGCTTACCTGGTAGATAGAGTCCAGATTAGCCTTGATTACATATAAAACACATGACACAACACAGAAAAACTTAATATTTCGTCCCAGTTAATATTAAGTAAAGTTTAAGTATGTATTAAGTAATCAATTATATTATAGTATCAAACAAGTAATTAAAGGGATGTGTTTTATGTGTAATCAAGGCTAATCTGGACTCTATCTACCAGGTAAGCTAGCTGATCCCTATCCTCGTACATAATAATCCTAATCAGCCAATTGGCCTTTCCTTAACTCCTTCCCACAGAAATAGTATCTGTTTACTGACTGATCCAGACGACGTGGTCGACGTGGACATGTTGGACATGGATAGTTTATATGGCTATTATCAGAAGCAGTATGGTTACGTCATTTGGCTTCCCCCACTACAGTAGTATTTGAGAGGAATCGTCGGTCGACTAGCGTTTCCTAGATTTGGCAACAGCGCGTGGTCCTCATTGGTTCCTTCAAAGGCTTGTGGTAAATAGGCTCCTCCTTCAACTGCAGACTCTCGTTGTTCCTAGTGTGATCAACAAATGACTGATCAGTGATCACAACAGTCTCTTTCATCAAGATCAGATGATTATTGTTGTACATATTTGATCATTAACCACAAAGAGTGGGTACTCATTATTCTGTTGGTATACAAGTAAAGTGTTACTGGTTTGGTTTGAGATGGTAACCTTCTTTAAATGCCTTTGCCAAGGTCATTGACTAGAAACAAAATATAGGTTCCTTAATGATATGTAAATATTTTTTTTTTTTGAACGACTGTGTATAAACTAGTGATTGTACTATGTTATTGTAACCTAACCAATAAGAATAGCTATACTATACCACAACATAAGAAAGAAAATTGTATAGACTGCTCAAAAACTATCACAAGTCAATACACAGTAAAAATACATACCATTTGTAACCATGGTACAGTTAGTAATTGGACAGATAAAACCAACTACATAAATGTTTCTTGTCAACAATAACATACTTGCCTTGTAATCATACTGTATAGGGGTTTCCTAAATAAAAGGAGCAGTTTCGAATGCTTATACAAAGATGACCAGGTGAGATAGGAAAATGAGATTGTATCACTGAATTCTATGGCTCAATTAGTTTTGTCACACTGTCTTGGGAAACAGCTGTCCTTGTTGTTGTTGACGTTTGCAGTTACTAAAAAAATCATTAATTTTTATCTAAAAACTTGTTTTCTGATCAAGACGAAGTGGCACTTTGCTGCACACAAGAGAAATGTTTACACAAGAGCTGTAGGCGAGTGTGGAAAGTTTCTCGAGTACAGTAAAGGCAGTTTGCACTCCCGTTGCACATTATAATTTTCCTATAGTGTATAAAGCATATAAATGATTAGTATTTCAATCACTTTACAGCACATTTTTAGGGTAGGTTAAATTCAAACATTGAACGAAATGAGGACGCTGCACCAGCTGTTCTAGAATACTCTTACAATTTGTACAACACATAGTATGACTTGGTTAGAATGTATAGAAATCTGTTATTGTCACCAGCTCGATTTAATTTAAAAAACTGGCAATAACTTAAACACGGGTATAGTGTAGCTAGTTCTATCCATGGCCAAAGAGTAAGTAGGTAGCTTATGGTGTAATGGTCTTACATAAGTTTCTTTATGGTTTATGTATAATACTTCTTGTATTCACATTACAGCTTATCTATGACTTATCTGTGACTAGTAGATGGGTTGTGTGTGGTATATCTCAAAGCACGGTACAAGGCACAATCCCACATTGCAGGGGCCGCACATGAAGCGTGACTCTTTGCGCCTCTGCTGCTGTAGGGATGTCTTGCCACACACTATACACTGCCGCTGAGGGTTCTTCTTGTTCACTGACGCAGAGGTGACGTACTGTGGGAAGTGTCGACCCATCAGACGGAAAGGTGAATCCGCTCGCCTACGACGTCCCGCTCGGTAGTTACCAGGCGTTGTAATATACTGTTTTGGCTGGTCAAGAAATAAGCGGATATCTGCAATTGAAATAGTCTATCCTGTCATTAATTATTAGCTTAAATTTTTCTCAGTGAATATTTAACCTCTACAGCTGCGACGAAACAAAATTTACAAAATACGGGTAGTCATCGCAGTAATAAATTTCAATTTATCACTATTTTAAACAGGATCAAGAAAATTTTTCAAAACAAAAAATGTTTGTGTTGGCATTGTTATACATAACTAGCTAACTTTCCAAAAGTTGCTGTTTTATTCCGTCCATCCATTCCATTCTCTATTGTAAATTTCACTGTTAACATTCCGTCCTATATCTTTTTCTCAGTACAGCATCCAACGATTCTTAGAATGGTAGACACCCTCTCATTTGGATCTGATTAGTTCATGCAAAATGTCTATGAGCGTAATTTTGAGAACCCCACAGATACTTTTGTGAAAGAATGTTGTAAATTTTTAACCGATTGTGTATTTGGCCTCTGGGGACATCAAAACCAAAATGTAAATCGTTCGCGGGCCGAGGTCTTACCATGAGACGAGCCAGAAATTGTTCAAGGAAAGATGAATTTGTCTGTCCTCTATGTAAATATCGCAACGGAAATAAATTTAGATGAAACTGCGCTGTACAAAAGGTAAAGTAAAATCATACATTAAAACATACACTGATACAATAATTGTTGATTTTAAATGGCTTTTAACTCGACACTTTGACTTAGGTACTTTGACTTAAGGTACTTTTAACACTTACTGCAATGTTATAAAAAAAATGCTATAACTTTAGAAAAAAACATTAAATTTACAGTAATGAAATTTGTAATACTATAAATTATTACTCTTTTATCCCTCTTTTACTTAGAAATATTGTTAAAAATTAGTAAAATATTTATTTTACGTGGTTTAATATTTTATGCAAAAATATAAATAAATGTTTTTTATTGATTTTTTGAATTGATTTAAAACTCAAAAAATTAATTGGACCCTGAACACTTTGTATTTGTGTTAGCTATTTATTTCTGTGTAAGAAAACAAAATATTAGCCAAGTGAAAGTTTTTTTTTTAAGTTTTATATTATTATTACAGTTGCCCGTAAAATACCTGTGTAGTGAAACTTAGCTAACTTATCCTTTACAATTAATTTGAAAGTCTTAGTTTTGCACATTTTTACCACAGATATGTTATAAATAAAATAAATATCACTGAAAATAATGGTAACAGTGAAGTAAATCGTATAAGCACCGGTAGCAAACAAAGTACAACCACAACATGCGTTGTTACTAAGCAGCAGCAGACGGCCGGTGAGTGTGGCGATTGATCAGCTGTCTCTTTCATTGTTCTCGTTTCCAAGTGAAAATAACACACTATGACCAATTTTCTTTTCAAAAGTGATTGGTTTAGATAATGTTAGGGAAACATAATTGTGAATTGTATTTTGACCCGGTCAACGCTGGGTTTCACTGCTAGTATTAAATCATTTTATTGTTATAAACGTTCTAATATTTGAGTAATGAAGTTGTTATTAAATACGAGTGTACAAATTGAATCCTTATGATGACCAAGTTTAGAGTTAAATGTTCTAGGTTAAATATCAGTGTTAAATATCGCCCCCCCCCCCCCCCCTATTAAGGCAGCGTAACACTATGCCTTACCCCCTAACCCGTGCGTTACGTAATACGTATGGCCCCTATCAGCTTGTGTGGGAACAGTGTTAAAAACAATAATAATGACGCAAAAAAATTTCAGCAGTTTCAAAAATAAAACTGACAAAATCTTAAAATCTTCAATTTAAAAACTTTTGAATCTCGAAACTCGGTGATCGAATCTCAAAACAGAAACTTTTCCAAAGTTTTGATGGTTTTGAGATTTGAGATTCGATTTTGACACATCGCTAGTGGGTTCCTATAACAATTATTCTCTTTGTTTCAATTTAACTGGTTTGAAATGTTTTACTAATCAAAGTGATGCAAGACGTTCAACCAATCAGTGCATCGGCGTGCCCAAAACGCATTTAAAAATTGTGAGTAGACGAAAGAATCTATGACACAAACATGTACCAAAAACTTTATAAAATTGATGTAAGATCTAAGGTCACTCTATTCTATTATTGTAGTCTACTTAATTGTTTGGTTTCTTTGGAACAAAAAAAATCCATATAAAACATGTTAACAAATACTATTCAATGCTATCAAAACATATCAGTTTATCATGGAAATAAATAACAAGGGTTGTAATTTTTGTGATTGTTTATTACTTAAAACTTACAAAACATAATGAGATATTTTAGATGACTGTTTGTCTGTGACATACTTAGTTCAAATTGTTGATTGTTAATGTAAATTGATACATTGATGATATAGAAAACCAAAACGTCAGCATGTCATAATAAATTGTAATAGCATACAATAGTAGAATGAAAAAGGATTGAGGTATGATTCTGATTTTAATCATTGATATATCAGGCATGTCCAAACTTTAATAACAAGAGCAAGGATTAGTCAAGACCTTCGGTGGCAAAACATAAAAATAAATATAAAGCAAACAGGAACCACTCAATCTGTGATGCATATGGGAGGTTTAATATTCAACATCTATGTACAGCATAAATATTGTTCAATCTTGTAGAAATTCAATTGCACTATGTCCTATCTATAAACTATTATAAATTAGGCTATTCGTCTGTATTTCTACCAAACAATAAAAAAACATATAAAATACGACAAATAATATAAAAATGTTTAAAAACATTATACAGTGGTATATCAAAACTTAAAATTAAAGTATAACTACAATGCTATGTAAAAGACAACAACTAAAGTGAAGGACTAAGAGTTGTTTGCAAAATGTATGTTGAACCTTGATATAAAGATGATTTTTCATAAATCTCCTAGAACCGGCCATAATATTCAATGGAATTCACATCTATATTTTTTAAGAAAAAGTCTGGTTGAAACATCAGTGAGAGGAACATTATTATGAACTGTAGCAAAATAAATTTACCTCTATATAACATTTTAAAAGTAAAAGCTATAATATAGCAAAATGTAACTCTAATAGAAAAACAGTACATTTTCTTATCGGAACCTGATTCATCTCTCTGTAATTCAGACTGAGAAACTTCAATTAGTCATCTTTGTTTTCTATTCTTCATACAGTTAGTTTACCTATGTATTTTAGGATGGTTAACTTTAGTAGCATTACAGATGATAATTATTATTGTTTTATTGTGCACCTCTATACAGCAATATAACCACTCAAAATATTCAATCGAGTTAATCTCATTTTAACAAATTTTTGGTTAGAACTTATTGTTTAGTCCCCTCAAATTCCTTATGTCAAGGCTTTGACTATTAATATAACTTCAGTATCCAATATTCAATGGTAAAGGTTTGGCTCAAATATATAAATTTAATACTTGAGTTTGAAAATATTTTGATTTCTGCTTAGATTCTTATCATAGAAAGTTTATAAAACATAGTGTCACCTACATCCTAGTACGGTATCTACTTTATCAGACTATATCAATACATGGCATCCTAATACATTAGTTTTAGTATAATGACATTAAGCAATATTTGACAATACTGTTATACAGCAAATTACAATGCTCGATGACCGTATTAATAACAAGGATTGTATAATAATGTGTTTCATTCAATGGCAAATAAAGCCATTCTATTGCTAAAGCTATAGTAATTGCACAATACTAAAGTACACTTATAACCCTAAATTAGGAACTTTTGATTCAGTCAAATTCTTAACCCCCTCAACAATTCTGCTTACATCTGAAAACCCAAAATTATTCTGAGTTGCCATAGAGTCCGTCATGCAAGAACGTTTGGTATTGGTGGTAGCTTTACGGTCATGAAAACCTTCCGGTGCTTCAGATTTGGAGGTGAATACCGGCACAGAGTTATTGACAGCATTAGCATATTTGTACCTACGGTCATTTTGATTCGGTAGATTGATTTCGTGGTAGCTCATGACGTGGCGGCGTAGATAGAGTTTGTTTTTGAAAGGCTTGTAACATAGAGGGCAAGTAATACATTCAGGGTAATGTATCAACCGAATGTGTTGACGCAAGTTGGAGATGTTGCTGTAGATGCGACCACACTCGGGGCAAGGACGGGGATCCAGAGAATGGGGCTTGCAGGGGTCACTGACTTGGGGAGTGGGGACGGGGACAACGGGGAGGACCGATCCTTGTGATTTGCACTTGTCACCCACATCTGTAACATACACCGAGTGTTTAACAATTATCGTCAGAATCAATATTATACAGATTTTTTAAATACGGTACCATAGTGGAAGTTTAAGCTTTGTACTTTTCATATCAGAAAATGGTTTTTGTGTGTTGAATAGGACGAGAATGCCATTTACAGTATTGGCCGACTTGATAGTGTTGTTTCAAGAGGTGGGTGACAGTGCAGAGTGCAGACAGCATTCTCTTGCCTTGACATGCAAAAGTGTTACAACTCACCTTGCATCTGTTCCTGAGAGGCCTCGTGTAGTTGTGAGATCTGCGCTGAGATACTTGCTGCAGCATCAAACGTTCCTACAAAACAAACAAAGTTATCAGAACCTTGATGAAAATAATTTATTTGACTCTTTAGAAGTTCAAGAATGATTTTTAACTCATGGCATATCAAAGTAGTGTGAAACACCAAACCTGTTGGTCGACAGGCAAGTGTTTTTTTTTCATTGTAAACAGTTTACATGGTAAACCAATTGGTTTCAACTGGTCCTTGAACAGGGTGTTAAAAAAAGGCGGAATGTCCTTATTTACGTTGTGATTCCTTAAGTCAAGATAAGGAGAAAATCGAGGGAAAAACTTTTTCCAAAATCGCTTAACCAGATATCCGCTTTTATATATTTTTTACACAAACATTTATATCTTTAGATGATCGTACAAACCAATCTTTATGAAACTTGGTATGTGTGTTAAGATGAAAGATACCTATGTTAGAAACAATTTTTAGCATTTTAAACTTCCTATCAAACGACATAAATTTCAAAAATATCAAATAAAAAATAACTGAAATAACACAATTTTTTTGTTGTAAAATGAGGTAAAATAAGGATAACGAGCCAGAACGAGCCAGGTTGCACCTAATTTTCCCTGATTTTACAAATAAAAATTGCAATATTTCAGTTATTTTAATTTTATTCTATATTTTTGAAATTGGTTTCGTTTGATAGATAATTTCAATTGCTTAAGAAAAGTGTTCTTGACATTTCCCATGAAATCAGCCATCTTTTACTAATTTAAGTTATGAACAAAATTTAAATTTCCGCCATTTAGAAATTTTGAATTGTATTACGATTTATTATTTTTTTACAAGGGTCTCTTCGACCTTCTTATACATACCAAGTTTCATGAGTATCGGTTAGAACTATCCAAAGATAAAAATGTTTATGAAAAAAAAAGCGGATATCTGGTTCACAAAGCGATACTGGAAAAAGTTTTAATCTTGATTTTTTCCTTATTTTGACCTAAGAAACCACTACGTAAATTATGTCCCCACCTTTTTTGAACAACCTGTAGATGGGATATACATTTCAGTATGGACAAGTCAATGAGGTTTGTAATGGATATTTATTATTTACTAACCAACAACTTTACGAACAGTAACTATATCTTATATAGTAAATAGTCTCAAAATCAAATTTATTCATGATTTAATTGTTATTTACTAAAACGGGCTAACATTTTTTCTTTAACTCTTGAGAGGAGTCTTTCTTCCGGCGATACTGATTCTTGATATCATATATTCTTGGACATCGATACCCATGCCACTCAACATGTCTGTGCAGATCGCTGGATCAAAAATGTACGCTCGATGACCACGAAAACGTTTCCATAGTCACGGAAGACGATGATCTACACGACCAGGTGTTCATTTTTCCGAGACCGTAATAGACAAAGATGATGATAATAATGATCCAGTGACCGCAGGTGATATTCTGAGGTTTTGCTGCGATCGTGGAATACGTGATGATTTTTCTGTGACCAATGGAGAAATTTAGGATTTTGTAGCGACTGTGGATGATTTTATATCTACACAGCTGCGGGAGATGTTTATGATTTTGCCGCTATCGCAAGAGACAATAGTGATGTTTCCATCACTACAGGAGATGTTCAATATTTTCCTGCCATCGGAAGTCAATGATGATGTATCTGTTACCAGTGCGGGAAATTCAGGATTCTGCTGCAATGGCGGAAGACATTGATGATGTTTCTGTGACCTAAGAAGATATTCATAATTTTGCAGCAATCATGGAAGATGTTTCCAAAACCGCAGGAAAAGATCTCAATATTACCTCGAGCTTGGCTTGATAACAAATCTTAGGCTGGTAAACCTCTAGTTATACTACAATTTTTGTTTTGACATTTGTTTGTTAAGATTTTCGTTTACATTTGATATGGTATTTATTTAATGTGTTTGGAAGGTCTTTGATATGAATTGCCTAGTTAGAATTTTTCATTACTTCTTTACATTTTTATTTACTTCAAAAACACCCAATTATCTCAAAACTACTTCGGACAAAGACAGGGGTTAGAGTAGTATAATTGATCCAACTTTGATCAATTTTTAAAATGGCTTCGGTATCAAAATTTGATAGATTGTGGAATCAGGACATTTTTATTTACAATACAAGTCTATGACTTCATTACCTGGACAGAAACTCTGTGAGTCACATCTCGTGTTTTGAAATCAAAGTCACCAGTAGAGGGTTAAACCAACCATAAGAGTTTCCATTTAAATTGTACATACACTGATATCATAATTATAGTTTTTGAAAAATTGTATTTGGCACTCAAGTATTATATTTTATGATTTAAAGTAGTGTAGAAAAAAACTAGTTCAAAGCTTTGATGATTAAGTTCGTTTTCTGGAAATTATATCCAACCAAAAAACTACCGGATATAATATTAAGAAAAATATATACCATTTAGACAGAAGGTAGAGAGAATTGTTTCCTGACCTACCTTGCATTGTATACCCGCGGCTGGCCCCAACAGGGTGGTCTAACATTGAGTTGTGGGAAGTGGTAGGTTGGATCTCGCCATCACTATAGTAATCCATAGGTTCCATTTTTGTCTAAAAAATAAGCAACACTGTAACTAGATAGAATAATCAGTTTACAAATAGACAGCTACTTTAGATAGTCATTGTGTTTAAGAACAAAATGACAAGTTAGTTACTTTGTGAGTTTTCAGATCCCTACAGAATCATAGTACCTTTAAAATCAACAGATTTGCCTACATATCTCAAAAAGTTTTACCACCTATATCTTATATTTTTACAAATTCAATTTACAATCTCTGCTTAGTGAATAAATTATCAAGGTTCAGAGAAATTCATCGAGACCTTAGTTTGGATTTTAACACCTATATACGTAAATAGTTCTTCTTCCAATAAAACTTCTGGATCCACTTCACGTTCGCTCTGACATGCACCACCGGTGGTACACAAGTAGAATTTCGGTAAATAGTAAAAAGTAAATGAATGTACTACTACAAACTTCCAAAAAAAAACAAAATTAATCTATTGTAGCCTACATTCAGTGGTACTGTTTTCGTAACAAAATGAGAAATGAATTATGCTAATAAAACCTGGTATTACGTGGTACATGTCAACCTGCCATTGTTTCTGACATAACCACTGGTCGATGCGCCCCACCAGTGGTCATGCCCAGTAGGCCTACTGCCTAAAACAGCGCATCTTGAAATTCTAATGATGTGTGCTTGAGTATCAACTACTAGCGACAACATGGCAGAAAACTAGCTAGTTGTGATGGTTGTGCCGCTAGAGCGCACAAGACAACTTCGGGTACCGCTCCTTCAGAAACTGACGATTCATAAAACCAAGGTGTTTAGTTATGTTTTGGGGTTTAATAAACCAGATTTTTATTTGATTTGAAAGAATTTTTAGTTTTTATTTTATATTAAAAACAGTTTCATGATGTAATAACTTAAACAAAACTAGGGATGGACAGGTCCCGAAATTTCGGGAATTTTTTGGGGATGGTTGTGGATGGTTTGTGTGAAGTTTGGTGCAGATCCGTCAAAAGGGCTCCGCCCCAGTGGCTCTGGAGTTTCCCATGTTAACCTTATGAGTACTCATATTTACTCACTCACTCACTCACTCCCATGGCCATTTATGCCCAAGGCGGGATTTGGCCGCACCAACAACTGCTTTCCATCTCTCTCGATCTTCTGCCTCTTCCACTTCTGCCCCCATATTTAAATGGAATTAATGAATCTTAACAGCTGTTTCAATTAAACAAGTTGGTTCTGTTCTATGATGTTCAATAGAATTAAAGTTACAAGGATTACCAACAGGGTGCAGCACTATTATTTTTTTTTTATTTATGACAACAGCTAATTTGCAACCAAAAGGTGAGTGAGCGTAGCAAACAAACTTCAACCTGGAGGCGAGTTAGCGTAGCGAACGAGCTAACCTTAAGGCAACCTAAAGGTGAGTGAGCATAGCAAACGAACTTCAACCAGGACGGGATTGAGCCATACGAACGAGCTCACTTATGAAGTTAAACGGGGCAAAGCCCGCGGGTACCTAGCTAGTTAATTAAATAAAAACACCTTTATTTAGCAAGCAACTTTTTTTTTAGTTTTAATATTTAAAACTTTTTAAATTAAAATATTTTTTTTAAATCTCGTCTTGAAAAAATCTTGACCAAAATAGAATCTCGTCTCGCAGAACGAGATTTAAAATTTCCCGAAAATTAGAGACTCGTCCAACCCTAATCATGTCAACTGTCAATATTGGCTTCGTCAACTGGGAAATGGAACCATAAAACCATAACATATTACTTAATGTGGCTAATAAAACTGATCGTTTTGTAGTCCTTATTTACTTTTCTAAAGTTTCATCTTCCATCAGTTGGTCGTTTAGTAACACATAAAGGACAAACATTGGATTTCATATATATAGATAACTAGTGATGGGCGGATCCAAGAAAATGTTGGTACCGGATCCGGATCTTGAAAAATTCGGATCCGGACCTTTGGATCCGGATCCAGATACACACTGTCATAAGGGCAGGTTAAAAAAACGTAATTAACAGAATGCCAATTTAAATCATACTGTTAAAAATTAAATTGGTAATGTTTAATGGTTAATATATCTTCTATATAGAGTAATCTCCAGTTGAGCCCATAATCCCTCATTTTTTGGGCACACTAACAATTTTCAAAATCATAAAATCAAATAGCACTAAGTTTGCACGACCACCAAAAGAGTATCTGTGTATATTTTACTATAGTTCGATCTTGAGTATGCTATATTGTGGTTTTTGCATGCAGCATCCAATTTATTTATGCCTGGATCACATCTTGTTTATCTCTTCCTTAAATTCGATCCAGGTCCACAGTACTGATAGCCGGGTATGTGAAGTTCTGCAAGTAAAATACCCCGTGTCTGTGTACAAGAAGTCTATACTGTGTTCTAACTTAGAAAAATATTAGATGGGGGAGTCTTGACTTTTTATTCACCCTGTATAGCCTATACAGAGATAATCTTCTTGTACACAGACACAGCGTATTTTATAGTGATGGACAAGACCCAAAACTTTGAGATTTTTTTATCACGAAGCATCGGGCGGGATTGAAATACTAACGGGATATTTTCGAGACGAGATTATAGGCAGTTAGCTTATCATCCAGGTACAAAACTAAAAACTAGAGGTGTGCAGATATCCGAAAAATCGGGTCGGATTCGGTTTGGAAAGATACATGCCATTGCCATATATTTTATATGCATCAAGAGACAAACACTGAGACATGGACTTGCCATATAAATTATTTGCATCTCGAGTAATTGCACCTCCTCCTTAGCACATGGAACTACATTACAACTCAAGACCAACCTACTAACCTCTATGAGCGCTGTTGTAGGTACATCATTATATGAGGTAGATTCTCTGAGTCGTTTGGAGGGGAGACTTGTCTCTCCCTCTCCCTCCTCATCCAGAGCCTGATCCGGGGAACTCCCCCGGGACTCCATGTCCGGACTATCACCCAGCGAGGGCCCTGGCCTCAGCTCTTCGGACCTATCTTCTGAGGTTTGAGGTAGCTGCAAAAATAGTGATTAACAGAAAATTAACACTAGGGTTGCTTTCAGAGAGGTGAAAGCCAGTTGAGCGGAACAAACGTGATTTGATATTTGTATAAAAGTAACTAAATGTAAAAAATCAATAGATGCTGGTTTTATTGATTAAAATTATAATAATTCAGACTTGTTTTTACTACATCTTGTTATTCAGATACCTCTTCCAAAAGTGCATTATAGTAGTTTTGACCAGGAAAATATTATCAGTTTATTTGGTGCAACACAAATAAACAACTCGATCACCTACCTATAACCATAGATAAAACATACTCGCTATAACCTACACTTTACCTCCCAAATCTAACCTTATTTCAAAACATGTAGTCACGAATACTCATAACCCCCGACCTACCTTCCCCACATGCCTAAATTAGACCAGTGTTCAATCTGCGTTTTATTAATAAGTGTAATAACTTACTGCACCGTCGATGTAATTCAACATAATATAACCATAGATAAAACGTTGGTTAGTCTATGATATAACCTGTGATGTATTATCGGATTAAATATCGATTTCGATTCGGTTCAATATATCGCTTATTAAATCCTGATTTCTAACATTGGCTGTTTCTGATCAGCTGGCAACACAAATAGGTTCCCAAGAAAGTAGTCACTGGTTCTCTTGTTTACATTTTTCTTGTAAACAAAAAACTGTCATATGGCTACTTTAGTCCCATAAGCCTAATGTTAAAATTTGGAAATTTTAAGTTCGTTTTAAATTGCATTAGCATTATCTAATTGAAATTTGTTTGTTTATTAACCATCTCACTATTAGTCTAAGTAATCTTGTTAAGTTTAGCTGAAATGTGTTCTGCCGTTATTGAGTGATGTTGCTTTATTTGTTGCATTGAAGTTGATCCCAAAGAGCTACGCTCGCTTCGCTCGCTCCGCTCAATAACACACCTTGTATCTGAGTACGCTTGAATTTCCTATAGAAAATCTTACTATTATCATTGACTATACACAGATAGATTCTGTGTAGGCTATAGTCAATGCTATTATGAGATAATTAAATTGCATAAATGTTAAACAAACAGTACATTAACGAAAATAAGTGAAAAGAATTGGTTTCAATTTTTCATTTATACTTGAACTCTATGTGCACAGTTACTTCCTTTTATTCAAACTCTTATATATTTTTATTGTTTTGTACCTAATATTTGCAGGAGACACTACTCACCAAACCTCAAGTATTGATCTGAGTTATTTGTATTGCTAATCGCTAACTAAAGAGAGTCGTGCACTTGGTACAAGAACCTATAAGCCCAAATATTTCTTGCTTGCCGTATAAACAAGTAACCATCTACACTATTGGTTTTCAGTGAGTGCACGCTTGGCACATACCTGGCGTCGAGGGTTGTTATTGATGAATATTTACAAGATCTTAATGATCTTTAGATTTCTGACAATGTTTTGACAATGGCCGATACAAGCCAAAACATGTAAACAACCTTAATTTCAAAATGAGCTGTTTGTCGGATTTATAAGGTATGTAACCTATTTATTATTGAATACAACAGCTCAGGAGCTAGAATGGAAATGAATTTTAATTTAGATTTCTATAAATTCTAAACTAACATCATAGCTATTAGCCTGCTGGAGGCATTTGTGAGATTCCTAAAAGCTTAGGTACATTGCCACATACACTGGTTGCAACTCACTTTGTTCTGGGACTGGGCAGACAATCCCCGTATTTGCAAGGACTCTGCTGTATGCAGGAAGTTGGGTAGCTTGGTCTGGCAGATGTTCACTTGTCCTGCATACATGAACTCCACTAAATTCATCAGATGTTCATACTCCACATCCTGCATGAAGATGATTGGATGCTTGCAAGGATTACCCTGCAATCAATCTTTTGTGAGTATAATTGTAAGCACCATAGCTACACATAAAATGGTTGCCATTATGATTCAGTTTTAACCTATTACCATCTGGGAGGTAGTTAGGGCCGGGAATGTTGCTGGAAGTCAACAGTCCCGGAAGATCAAATAATTTATACCTGTGCCGCTAGGTCAAAAACTACAATGTTTGCAGTGTCTGTAGATCAAAAGTCCCAGAAAGTCAAATAATACAGTCCGAACTAAAAACGTGGTCTATGTTAAAGCAATTGACTTATTGGGAATTTGACCTAATGCAACAGCAGTTTTAATATAACGAAATACGGTAAAATACAAGTTCAGTTTCGCTGAGTCAACAGTGCCGGAAGATCAAAAGCAATAAAAGTGAACGTCGATTTAGTGTAAAGTAGACCTCCTGCAACGCTTGCTAAACCAACAAAACTCGCTTTTAGTTACTTCGTGTTTTGTCATAATTAGAATAGAGCTAAAATTATCATATTTGGTACATAGCTTATCTATTAATGCTTCTTGCCAACTGTTTGATCAACACTGTAAATAGGTATAGTTTATGTAATGAAAAGCCTTTCGTCAAAATTTGTGGCATGAAATACACGCAAGGACGATCTGAAAATTTCTGGTTATTATATACGTTTGTAAAAGGAGATCCATTTAATTGCAGAACTATTTTATGAGTTATAATGTAGTCTAACCAAGAAGCTCTGTGCCAATTTTAAAAATTTTAGCACAACTTAAAGTACACCAAAACACGAAATTATTGAAGTCATGCGTCGAGAGGACTATCGTTGTTTTGAACAGATTATACTTTTGACCTTCCGGCACTGTTGACTCAGCGAAACTGAACTTATATTTTATCTTATTTCGTTATATTAAAACTGCTGTTGCATTAGGTCAAATTCCCAATAAGTCAATTGCTTTAACATATACTACGTTTTTAGCTCGGACTGTACTATTTGACTTACTGGGATTTTTGATCTACAGACACTGCAAACATTGTAGTTTTTGACCTAGCGGCACAGGTATAAATTATTTGACCTTCCGGGACTGTTGACTTTCTGCAACGCGTCCTTAGGGCCTATTATTCTTTTAGTGTGTGATTGACCTTCTACTGTTTCAACTATGGGGACAGGAAAGGTTTGTAAGCTTAACCTAGATTATTCTATATTCTGTTCTCAAAATGGTAGGACTTTGATGGATACTACATCTTAGTATTGATAATTTTTAACATCTATTTAAATATATAATTAAAAGTATATTTTAAAAGTCTATTTTTTTACTAGTTATGGACTTGACAAAATTCAATTTGTAACTGTCTATAAATGATTTAACATGTAAAAGAAACCTCTTTTATCCTATTTGCGACTGTTTAGATATCTACATTTGCATATATGCAGCAGGTTTGCTATTCACAATCCAAATCAAAAATTTGTTTGCCACAATGCACTAAAAGCAGCTGGTTTCTGGTCTCTTTGTATTCCAGAAAGTCGTCTACAAAAAGGGCTTGTCGAAATCAGTCAGAGCTCTAAAATTTACGGAGCATTTTTTCCCCCAAAATGGCATATATCATGAATTACCTTGGGAAGCATGAATTCCTACTGAAATCATACAGGATTAGTTCGACAAGCCTCACACAGGTATAGGTACTATTCATGCACATAGCCTAAACTGTAAAGGGTGATAACACCTACTTCTCGCTATGAAGAATGAAATGATGATTAACTCACTATAATGTTTAAATAAGAGTTTTGTCAAAGTAGGGCCTATGTCTTTTAAACATTGTCTGTTCTATTTTTGGACGATAACTTAAAGCTTTAGCTTTAGCTAAGATAACTTTAGCTCTACATCGCCTTATAGTTTTGTTTTAACATATTGTTTTATGATAGACTACACCAATACACTGAGGTTTATCATAAAACACCTGGATTCTTTAATGTTCCATAAAATGTACTTTTTGAAATAAAATGTTTCTTAAATATTTTATGAGTTTTTTTGTCAGTTTTAATTTTTAATAGCCTATTACAGTTTGGATCACCTATATTAAAATATAAAATTTAGGGATCAAAATCACAACTAATCTAGCACACTTTGTTTAGAAAATTATGGATACAGTTACAAAAATTTACACACCTTAAAAAGTTCTTTAAAATATGGACTACATGCTGAAAGAACTAATTTGTGAGCCTTGATTCGCTTTCCTTCACATGCCAACGTAACATCAACAAAATCCTCATCTACTCTTAAAGCTTTAAACTGAGAGGTGAAATTTGTTTGGAAGTTGTTCCATCGAAGACAAAATTGTTGATCATCAGACATCTCCCCCCTGAAACAGTAAAAATATTGTTAGAACTATGTTAAAAAGAGAATATAATCAGAATGTTTTCTCTTGCTATTAATCATTTTAAGTAGAAATTGATATAGGACTACCTTGAAGCTGATGACAGAACCTCAGTTTTCATGTAGAATGATTAAAAATCAGTCTACTTATTAACACACTGAAATAAGAGTAGATTAAATGAAGTTATTAAACTACATTTATTTTTAGTCCACAAGATAAACCAGTTTGTACACATTGACATTTTAAAACATATATGAAATGATTTAGACTTAATTTCTTTAATATTTAAATGTTTTAAATACCTGGAATTCAACTTAGAAAATAATAAATAAATGAATTAAATAAAAATAAGCTTCCTATAATAACAAGTCAATTATAAAAATACACATTATTGAACGTTTAACATGACATCCAATGGTTTTTAAAGGTGATACAACAACTGATGGTTGCAAATGAGCGGAGAGTTGTGAGCTAGTGGGGGAGGGATAGGTGTAGCTTTTAGTGAATTTCCCTATGGGGAGGAAAGCTATTAGGCCTTTAAAAGGAAGTGTAGCCATATTGTTAATGGCTTCTTATATCTCTACTATTTATTACTGTTTGCTTCTATTACTGCACCTAGTTTTGGCCAGCAATAGATTTTTTAAGGCGCGCCCACTACTTATTGCTGACTTTATCCCCCCTGAATTACTCCCTGGGTACATAATATTGGTACTGTCGTGTTCGTCAAAGTGTCCTCTATCTGTTGACATTATCGGTAATATGGTTCGCGGTCGTATTTTTTAGGAAAACTGCCAGCAATAGATTTTTTAAGGCGCGCACACTACTTATTGCTGACTTTACCCCTCTAAATTACTTCCTGGGTACATGATATTGATACTGTCGTGTCCGTTAAAGTGTCCTCTATCTGATGACATTATTAGTAATATAGTTTGCGGACGTATTTTTCCGGAAAACGTCTACAGCAATAGATTTTATCAGACCTGCCTACTACTTATTGCTGACTTTACCCCCCTAACTTACTCCCCATTTACATGATATTGATACTTTCGTGTCCGTTAAAGTGTCCTCTATCTGTTGACATTATTGGTAATATGGTTCGCGACTTCGCGGCCCTATTTTTTCGGAAAACGGCCAGCAATAGATTTTATCAGGCCTGCCTACTACTTAATGCTGACTTTACCCCCCTAAATTACCCCCGAGGTACATAATATTGATACTGTTGTGTCCGTTAAAGTGTCCTATATCTGTTGACATTATTGGTAAGATAGTTCGCGGCCATATTTTTCCGGGAAACGGCCAGCAATAGTTTTTTAAGGAGCGCGCACTTCTTTTTGCTGACTTTACCCCCCCTAAATTACTACCTGGGTACATGATATTGATACTGTCGTGTCCGTCAAAGTGTCCTTTATCTGTTGACATTATTGGTAATATGGTTTGTGGCCGTACTTTCCCGCAAACGGCCAGCAATAGATTTTATTAGGCTCGCCTATTACTTATTGCTGACTTTACCCCCCTAAATTACCCCCTAGGTACATGTATTGATACTGTCGTGTCCGTTAAAGTGTCCTATATCTGTTGACATTATTGGTAATATGGTTTGGGGCCGTATTTTTTCGGGTAACGGCCAGCAATAGATTTTATCAGGCCTGCCTACTACTTTTTGCTGACTTTACCCCCCTAAATTACTTCCTGGGTACATGATATTGATACTGTCGTGTCCGTTAACGTGTCCTCTATCTGTTGACATTATTGGTAAAATGGTTCACGGCCGTATTTTTCCGGAAAACGTCCAGCAATAGATTTTATCGGGCCCGCCTACTACTTAATGCTGACTTTACCCCCCCTAATTTACTCCCTGGGTACATGATATTGATACTGTCGTGTCCGTTATTTAAAGTGTCCTCTATCTGTTGGCATTATCTGTAACATGGTTCGCGTCCGTATTTTCCCGCAAAACGGCTAGCAATAGATTTTTAAGGCACGCGCACTACTTATTGCTGAGTTATTGCCAGGTTCACACAAGTGGCGCGACGGTAGCTTCAAACACGTATAATGTATAACCACAACGCCGATTGTAGCCTACATGGAACAGTTTAATTAAGTTTATAATTTATAACATTTCATTTTATAACATAAATTTATAACATTCCAATCTCACGCACTGTCAATTTTAAGTCCTTCCATTGTAAACAAAGATAGCCGAGAAAAACGTCCGTACACAGGAGGCTACAACCGTAAACTGATGAAAATTTGCTACATATAGTAGATGATAGATGAAAAATATTTGAATAACATTGCTACATATATAAGTTAGCAATGTTGATGTAGCATGTACTGTATTTCTTTTGATCTTTACCGACTCCTAATGGATAGCACAATTTTTGATATCTTAGCAGGATCTGCTACATATATAGCAGTGTTATGTAGCACTTTTGAAGTTACTTTTTCTTCTTCTAGCAAATGTTGTAGTCTATCCTAACATTGCTAGAGGTTAAAACACTAATCTGCTATGTAGCAGGTTCTGCTACATAGTGTAAACCCGGCTTAGTATTGAATGTTCCCTTTAACTGGAAAGTAAGTTCAAACTACCCATTTTGCTGGGTTTTGCAAGGTTAAGTTATTGGTTGTTGGATCGTAATGGAAAATACACCGTTGAATTCATCATGAATTCCGCACAAATTGAGTATGACTTTTGGACAAAAATGTGTTTTCCGTTTTCAGCGTTACAAACAGTTGGCGGGCTTTTGTAAAGTTATTAGATGTTGGATCGTAATGAAAAAAACAATGTTGAATTTGTCGTGAAATTCCGCAAACTTTGAGTACCGGTAGGCCCTAGCAACAACGTGGATTTTTTGAAAAATGTGTCTTCCGTTTTTCCAGGAAAACGGTGCTTTTCCGTAAAAATTGACTATCATTTTTGGAATCAGCGCTACAAATCTAACAGATTAACACGTTAACTGCCACCTTGATATTCAGCCTCTTCACAGTATTGTAGAACTTTATTTTATGTAAAATTTCACTAATATTGTTTCTATTTACTTTTATGGGTTAATATATGATGTTTTGAATCATAATTATTATATTTATGGGTGGGGGTAGTTTTTAACCATTCGGGTCGGCGGCACTACCTACCATTTTTTAGAAAAAAATCACTAAAATAAATAGCTGCCAACCCAATCGGGAAACACGTCGAATGGACCTGCTGAAGGCAATTTTACTTTGCAAAGTTGGCAATATCACACTTTCCTGCATAAACTTGCCACAGCCGTATTGTTTGCGCCCTTTTGCTGCCACCTGCGTATATATGGGGTAAAGAAATTCAAAGTGTGTGACACAAGAGGCTATACTTTGAAGAAGAATATATACATGGGGAAGGGGACTGGAGTAGATGATGGCTTGACCTTAGCTACTTCCGTTGTAATGGATCATATGGCTGATTATTTGGACAAAGGTCACACATTATACATCTAGACAACTTTTACACTTGCATAGATTTGTCCAATATACTCTTAGCACGCAACACACATGTAGTTGGAACTATGACTGCTAATCGGGCTTGGTTTCCCCACAAGAAAACTATTCCCTCCAAATGTGAAGCTGGAACCAGGACAGATGCACTGTTTGGAGTATCCCAATGGAACAGTCTACACCAGATGGGTAGATAAGCGGGAAGTTCGCATGATGTCAACAAAACATCCTGCAGGTTTTGAAGACACAGGAAAAAACCAGACAGGGTAACTCCATACCTACTGAAGCCCATGAGCGTAGTGCGATATAACAGGCAAAAATGGGAATCGATTTGTCTGACCAAATGGCATCATATAGCACTGTCATCCGTAAATCAATGTGTTGGTACCACAAAATTGCAGAAGAACTGTTCCTAGGTACTGCCGTAGTAAATGCCTGGCTTGCTTATTAAGGAAAATGTAAGTGGTACTAGCGGTAAAAAAAAAACCGGACTCTATCACTTCATTCAGGGAAAAAATAGTGTATGCTCTCCTGGATATTCAAGATGCTGCTGTAGAACCCGTATGACAAACTGGCCATTACTATTATCCGTGTCTGAGACATTTGTTGGAGAAGGAAAAAACAGAAGGCGATCGAGAAAGAACTGTAAACTGTGTTACAAAAGAGTGATGAATGAAGGAAGACGGCAGGCAGCAAAGAAGTTGAAAAAGGTAACATAACAACATTCTGCAATATGTGCCCCGATAAGCCTTACTTATGCAAGAACTGTTATATGAACATTCACAAGTAGACTAAAGACGCAGGAACACAAGAAGGTAGGGCCTACCGGTAACTGTAACATTGTTTTAAATTTTTTTCAATCTAAGTAGGCCCAATACGTTTTTATTCTTTTACAAATGTATTTTTTTCAGCAGTAGGCTAAACTTTCAGAAACGAAAAATTTATAATGAGCCATGTTAAGTTTTTTGTTTATTACCTAATGTACTGATACAATAAATAAGATTGTTCTGTAATACTTTTTTTATTTCAAACCCAGCAACAACTTTAGAGTACCGTAGGCTAAACATTTTTTACAACTTTATCAAAATAACAAATAGGCCTAATTCAAGTTATCTATCAGTATTCCAAGGAATGATTGAAACAATGATACATAAAGTAAAACAACTTGTACAATTTTTATTATTTTACACGAAATAGTCATTTTTTTTATCGTACCGTAAGTAATGTTGAAAAACCATCAAAAACAACCACGCCGACCCGATCGTTTACCATGTTAACGTTTTTGTTTGAACCATATGTAGAATCCTCAGAAACTTCAATCAACGCTATCTAGTAGGAACGGGATAATACTCTGCTGTTGTAGTTCGCTTGATCGCCGCTAGATGTCAGTGAGGGCCATCTATCGGCCAAAAAGTGAAACCTTGCATTCCTGAGGTGTCGACTCGATCGGGTCGGCATGTCATTCCATCCGACCTGGTTATGCCGACCCGATTGGACCGGCTTGGCACAGGTAACGTGTTAAGTTAAAAAAACAAAATATTTTTTTATAAGAGCGTTGACTGGAGGTCGACATAATTACCAGACAGACTTCACTACCGGAACGCTAACACGAACTAAGTTTATGCTCTAACTTATTCATTCTCAAGATTTAAAAATGTAATAGGCTAACTTAACAGAATGCTTAGACATACCTACTGTCTACTAGACCTGTCATGGATTTGACAAAAGAGGCAGCATAGAACCAAAATAGTTTCAGGTAGGCTAGGCCTGTATAAGTTCATCAGTTTTCTTGGGATTAACAGTCTGAATTCCATAAGATTATGTAGGTAGGCTACTCAACCATAAGTTGTACATACTTAGGCCTAACTTATCAATCTTAGTTAATTATTGGATAATAACTTAACCCAATCATGTTACAATTATTAAAGTAAGGTTACCTATGTTAAAATTGTATATGGACCAAAGAATAAAGAAAGAGATAAAATGGTAGCTGCGGGATCATTGAAATGTCCCAGTTTGTTTGACCAAAAAGATCATTAGCCTTGAAAGTAGGCTAGGCCATCTGAGATTAAAATCTTATTTTAAGTTTACGTCTTACCTGCAAGTTCCTTTTTCTTGTGATGCTAAACGAATCTGGGATACATACTACTTAAATTATTCCTCAGTTTAAAGAAAAAACAACAACACTTAATATTGGACGAGTTTTTACTTATTGATATTTCTTCAGGTCCTTTTCTTACATCCACATTTGAGCTCATCATCATTAAGCAAGTGCACAGTGGTGGGGGAAGAAAATAGATGAAGGTAAGCTGCAAGGTTGCGTTGCCAACAACTTTCTTAAAAATAAGGAAATTCCCGGCTTGGAACCAAATTATATTTTTATCAAAGAATTTGTTCTTGAAAGTACCTAATTTGATATATGTTCAAAAATATATGCAGGATCGTATAATTGAAATTTAACATCATAGTTAGGGGTGTAAATTCAACTAAGTAAGCGAATTCGAATAATTTTAATTTAGAATTTGGAATAAAAATATTCCCAACCTTATACCACTGTGAGGCAGCCTGAAGCCGAAGCCTAAATCAATAGAATACCCTACCAACTGCCTTTACTCTTTACCTACCTCCTCAGCTGATTTTAAATTTGTTATAGCATTTTTCGTGTAATATTATTGTACTTTATCATTACTGTATCATCATTATTATGCAGTATCCCTATTCCCCCATCCTTATTCAAGTTCACATGCTGTTGTTGTTGTTTTGTTAGTTTCTTCTTCCCTACTCCTGACTCCTACAACAGCCAGCCATGCCATAATAAAAATAAACCTAGCAGACGACAAGTAAACTACTGTAGTAGCAAAATAAAATAAACGTTATCAGCTATCTCGCTATCTGATACATACTTTCTCCCATTAGCTTGTCAACAACCTTTATCATGTGTAAGCTATGGGAGTAATGATATTTTAGGTAAAGGCTAAAACCACAAAAGTTGCAATAACTTCTAAACCGTAATAATTTTTACAGCTATGAGAGATTGCACTATTTTGTTAAGAATTACAAGGACCATACCTTACAAATTAATTTTTTATCAATCGGCTTTCTCCTAAAATCAGATTATTTGTTATTTTAGGGGTTTAATTTACAATAACTTTTGAACCGTAATTTTTACAGGAATGGAAGTTCTGCCATTTTGTTCGGAATTTAAATAACTAATATGTAAAACTTGATTTCAAACTGCCAAATTAAATTGAATTGCACAGACCTGTCAGATTAGGACAAACTAAAACCTGTTGGTAAAGTTACAAAATTTATAATTGTTAGTGTAACTGGAGGAATGATATTTAATATTGATTGTTTTGATAAAAAAGGCATATATGCTGAAAGTTGATTTTGCAATGAATTAATCATTATTTTTAAAATGGTGTTCTTTTGTCAAAGAAAAATATATACCAATTAATTCTAGTGTTTTATTGTTTTTTTAGCGAATTTCCCATATAGGGAATAAGCTATTACCGTAGTACTCATGGTAAGACCTGGACCCGGGACCGATTTAATTTTTCATTTTTAGGTCCCTAGGGCCTAGAGGCCAAAAACGCCATCCGTTCAAATTCATATATGTATAAAAAGTGTCCATTAGCGCGATAACTCGAGCAAAAATGATCCGATTTTGATGAAATTTGGTACAAACGTGTAAACCTACGTTTATTCAAACGAGTTCGCGATCCAGCATAATCAGCCGGACCATGGGAACGTGGGTTTATGGGGGGGGGGGGGGTTTATGGGGTAAAAATGGGGGTTTCCCATTTTTGACCCTAAAAACAAAAAATTTTGCAATTTCTTTTTAAGCCGTTTTGTAGAGCTTAAAAAAGAAATAATTTAGTCTATTGGAGCGCTGTTGTATGACTAACGGTCACGGAGAAAATTCAAAAATAGTGTAGGCCTAATTTAAAATTCCCATGTTATTCTTATGGAGAAAATGAAAATTTTTGTAGTTTACTTGTTAATGGATATACTAGCATAGTACTTACCCGTCCTTCGTACGGGGTTGATTGTGTCGTACGGGGTTGACATATAAGTATGAATGCTTATTGCAGTTATACTCAAGCTTTGCATTTGCAGTGGGGGAGGACACAGTTTGATAAAATTTGCTTCTTTAAACTTATGGCACAGTATACTATAGTATTACACATATACCATAGCCATATAGTTCTACCACTTCACCTAAACAATATAGAAAAATAAATTATAACATTCTCAAAGATATCTTAAATTATTCATGAAATTTAAAACATAAACATAACTGAGTTCAAATTAGCTGTCAACAAAAAGAATAATGCTGCACCCTGTTGGTAAATCTCATAACTTTTTTATGCTTTTGCATTTAATAGAACATACTTTTTTAGTTGAACCAGCTGACTAAATTCTTTAATTCCCTTTAAATATGAATACTCATAAGGTTAACATGGGGAACTACAAAGCCACTGGGGCGGAGCCCGAAAGGATTTTTGAGATAAGAATATGCCTATATGTTAATCGGGAATGTGAGCTATCATCATGCCAAATTTCAGACCCAGTCAGCACACTTTCTCCTCAGGACATCCCACGGATATTGCGACAGGATATGCAAGATATCCCATAGTGGTCCTATGGTCAACTTGGGATATCACAGGATATCCACAGGAATGCCTAATGTCCCCGCCCGGGGATGTCCTACGGATAAGCTCACATGCATATCCGTGGGACATCCGAGGTCATCCGAGGGTAGTCCTCAGGACATTCTCAGGACATATGGGACTACTATGGGATGTTCCTGGGATAAAGTGTGGTCTGGGCCTGAACATAAAAAACACAAAATAATATAGATTTAGTATGAAAAGCTCAATTATAAGTTTAGTAAATTGATTAAATAGTAAATAAACACAAATTTTGAAGAAAAAAACGAGAAAAAAGTTTTTGGCCCAGACAGGTTTCGAACCTGGTACCTTCGCCTTGTGAGCCTCTTACCTTACCTCCTGAGCTATCTGCGCTTGTTGATCATGGGTGTTTTCAAGTGGTTAAAGAGTAGCCGACAGTTGCAATGGTCGCAATACTTAAAATATTTTTGATACTACAGTATAGGCTATATATGATTCTGTTAATCTGTTTAGACCTCAAGTAGTTGAATTGTTTTTCTGGTAGTTGGAGAGGATACTGGTATTTGAATATAGATTATTTAATCACCATTAGATTAGCACTGTAATAATTGATTGTTATATGATTAAAATTAGTTTTTTGTTGTTTTATTAATTTAAAGTTAGAATTAAATTCACATTTCACACAACTATGATAGAACTCTAGTTTTCCTGAACTCAGTGGTAGTAATATGTCAGTAAAGTAAAGTCAACCCTTGCTAGCCAGTATTAACAAGACATATTTCCAATCTGGGAAACCTTAAACTTTTAAAATAAATTATAAAACCTCAACATCTTAATGCGTGGGAATCTTATATTTAGAAAAAAAAAAACAGACCAAAATTATTTGATAAATAATGAAGACGGCCCAATTATAAATTCGGAATTACTGAAAATAATTACATCAAGAACAACACTGTAACATATCCAAAATTCAAAAGATTAATTTTTCTAATACCGTATTATTTTTATTTTTCAATATCCTTTAAATCATCTGTTTTAACTTTGTTTAAAATTAATTTATTAAGTAAATATTTACTTTTTGTACTAGTGTAAACACAGCCTGAAGATGAAAACCAAGTTTCTGAAAGCACTAGTGAAAAAAACTAATTATTATATATTGGCCTTGTTGAACATTTAAATTTAGACATACTGTACATTTCATCAATGGTAGTATTTTTTTTCTTCAGTTTGTTACCGGGACATTACGGGACATTACAGGATATCCAGTGGATTTTGTACATGTCCCGGGATGTCATGGGACATTCTGGGATATCCTATGGCATTCGTACATATCCCGGGACTTTACAGGATATCCTGAGGTTAACTTACAAATCCCGGGACATTACGGTATATTGTAGGATATCCTGTGGATTTCGTACTCGTCCCGGGATTTTGCGGGGTATCCTGAGGATAGCGCACATATCCCGAGACATTCTCAGGACATATGGGACTACTATGGGATGTCCCTGGGATAAAGTGTGCTGTCTGGGGACTAATCCGTCCAGTAGTTAATGCGTGATTGAACTTCAAACAAACAAACACACAAACTTTCACATTTATAATATTAGTAAGATATTGATAAAATTTGGCAAATTTATTGAGCGGAGCGAGCAAAGCGAGCGAAGCTCTTATACGTCGACTCTTATATGCATTTCGTAATACGCAAACTCCTCCTGGACGGCTGAATCAATCGTTTTCAAATTTTGCATGGTGATAAAGACCATATCGGTGAGTGCCAACATCTATATGGCGTTAAAAAAGTCTCTCAGGAATCCGCCTCACTGGGTCTCAAAGTTTCAATGTAATCCTTATGGAAGCAGTATTTTGACACATAAACAAAGACATATGATCAGCTGTTGCGAAAAATTTTGAATGCATCAGTAAATAAAGAAATAGCTGATAGCATTATTCCACAGATATTAGTACAAAAACGGTATGGATCATAAATATAAACAAATGACGACACTAGCTTGAGGTCCGTGACGTAGGAAGTGGTGAAGGAAGTAGTAAAGGTTTAGCAGTCTGGAGTGTGGAAACCGTTTATGACGATTAGATTACGGTATCTGCATTCCTAAACTTCTGTGGGAAGGGATGAAAACAGGTCCACGACGTAGGAAGTGGTGAAGGAAGTAGTCATGGGAAGCTGTCCGGATGTGGAAACTGTTTATGACGATTAGATTAAGGTATCTGCATTCCTAAAATTCTATGGGAAGGGAGGAAAACAGGCCTGCGATGTAGGAAGTGGTGAAGGAACTAGTCAAGGTTTAGCAGTCCGGAGTGTGGAAACTGTTTATGACGATTAGATTGAGGCATCTGCAATCCTAAAATGCTATGGGAAGGGAGGAAAACAGGTCCGCGACGTAGGAAGTGGTGAAGGAAGTAGTCAAGGCGAGCTTTCCGGAGTGTGGAAACTGTTTATGACGATTAGATTAAGGTATCTACAATCCTTAAATGCTATGGGAAGGGAGGCAAACAGGTCTGCGATGTAGGAAGTGGTGAAGGAAGTAGTCAAGGTGAGCTGTCCGGACTGTGGAAACTGTTTATCACGATTAGATTAAGGTGTATCTGCATTCCTAAAATTCTATGGGAAGGGAGGAAAACAGGTCTGTGATGTAGGAAGTGGTGAAGGA